CGCGCTGCGTGCTCGCCGTTAAAACATTCGCCGCTCGTGGCTCAAGAGCAAAAAAATATAAAGTAAAAGCAAACGGAGCGGAGAAAAAAATATATATGTATTTGAACCTGGCCCAACACTCATCCGAGCGTCCCGTAACTCTGCATCAGTCCTGTCAAGTTAACTCGGCTTTAGCGTTGGCGTGCTCGCGGTGCTGCGCCAGGCTGTGGGCGCGGTCTGAGTGCCCTTCTAAATCCCCTGTCCGGCTCACAGTTATCGCGTGGCGGGGCGTGGCGGGGCGTGGCGGGGCGTGGCGGGCCGGTCACGGGCGTGCATGTCGAGCCACGGTAAAGGTTCGCGTTCGCGTCGTGGAGCGCCGTGGCGGCGGCGATTGTTTTCGGATTGTCAATCAAGCAGCCGGCGCAAGCGGCGCAAGGCACAAGCAAGCCGTTTGATCGGACACGCCCAGCACCAGAGGGGAGGGGGAGGGGGGGAGCAGGAAGTATCAAGTCAGTGTCCGCGGCCGGCCCGGGGCCCGGGCTCTCTCGGGGGGTTCTCTTGTGCGCGCCGGGGATGACCTTTGGACTAACCTTCCACTGCCCTCTCAAGTCTAGTGGAACTGTTCGTGTGTGTGTATGTGTGTGTGCGCGCGCGCGCTCGCGGGTAACGACAGCCGAGTTTGGCCTGGGTGGTGCTTGTTTGGGCGGGGTGCGCGTTCAGTTTGGAGTGGCGGCTGGCGCGGCTGGCACGCTGGTGGACAGTCCGAGTGGCCTGCGCTTGGTTGAGCCACAGAGCTTTGCGCCACACACATAATATCATCAAGGTTTTTGTTTATTTGAAACTAGAACCGGAATTTATTTAAAATAATACTAACGTTTTAATGAGAAAGGCGTCGCTCTCTTATTATACCCTCTGGGAAATAAACGGAAGGGTTGGTTGGCTGCTCCAACCGACGCCGCCATGTCGGTAACTCGACCTGCCGGATGAAGTGTCTTACGGCCCTTGCGGTCTGCTAAAGCATAATAAGAGAATAACTTGGCGCGCTCCTCGCGATACCCGCCCCGGCCGGCGGACGAATCTTATGATACCGACGCGCCGGCAGCAGCAGCAGTGGGGATTGAAATTGCTATTATGATAGTCTCACTCGCGGCGGGGTTCGAGACCCACGCCAAGCCGGCGACGAGACGAGTTTTTCTCTCTTCGGGTTTTTTATTCATTTCTTTTTGTGTGGGTGGCGGAGTGCACCACCGGCCGTCGTCATTTCAATCTTGTGGTAGTGGTGGTATGGTTGGTACCCGCTGGTACCCGCTGGTATCTACGGCCGGGTAGCTCCTCTTTTATATTGCACAACTAATGGCCGTGGTTTATTATTGCCTTGCCTCGCTGCTGCTGCATTACCTGAGATTAAAATGATGGTCTTGAATAGGAAAAAAGCCACAGAAGACGTGGAATTGATTTTCACCCCGCACTACTATACCAAGTCGCATGAAATGAACGACACGGGAGTCTGGTCACGTTGGATTTGAGCGAGAGATAAAATGAAATAAAAAGAAACATCGTAAAAGGTTCACGTGGTTGTCACTGGTCGTGATTGGCTTGATTGGAGACTTGTCGTGCCTTTTCATTTTTTATTTTTTTTTGTCTCTTCTCTCCTGTGCGATCAGGTTCGATTGATTGGAAAAGACCCGTCATGCGTCTCTTGCCAAGCCCCGGCGGGCTGTTGGCCTGGCCTATTCGTGGAACGCACCACACAAGTTCCTGTTTGGCAGCAAAGGCCTGTTTGCAGTCCAGACCTCTGAGAAAGCGCTGCAAAGCTCGGCGGTCGTGGCGTGGCGTAGCGTGGCGGCAGGTATAGGCCGGCGGGGCGGGGCCGGGCGGGCCTGTCAGAATACGAATAGGTTTTGCGAAATGTATGGGGCCCTGGGAGGACCTCCTCCTCCGCCTCCTCAGCCTCCTCCATCTTTTACTTTTACTTCTTGTGGAAGCCTCGCTGCAAGCAGTACACCCCCCCCCCCCTCCCCTCCCATGGCTCTTGCTTGATTACGCCTGCATTACTTGATACGGCCCGGGCGGGGTGGCTGGCCCCGGGCCCATGCGGCCCATGGGGCCCATGCCGAGCCCGTGCCGGGGCCCCGGAGAGAGACCCCCGGCCAGGAGGTTTTGTTGCTCGTGACAAGTTCCCCGAAGCGTGGTCCGTGTTGCTGGCTGGCTGAGCCGGCGCGGCGGCGCTGCTGCTGCTGCATCTAGCGAGCACAATGTGTCTCTGAGTAACATTATCGCTCATCCCCAGCGTCTCTCATCTATCTCTGTTGTTGCCGTTATCTATCCTGCTCTCTTGTCTCGCGTGATGCATGCGAGTGGGAGAGAGAGAGCCGTGTAGTGTATTCGAGCACAGCCTGTTCTTGGATGAGCGCTGGTGAAATAGCGCGCTCTCAGCGCTCCCCGCTGATGCCTGTCTTCTTGTCCTTCATCGACGACCTTCCTGCTTGTCGTCGTCGTCCTGGAGAACAACGCACTCGGACGGCCTGTGGGGAGTCATCGCGGACCTTGAAGGCCTCCGTACACAGACTGCCCGGAGCGCGTCCGTCTCTTTTTCATGTTATGGCGAGTGAGTCGGCAGTTGGCAGCCGGAGCGGCAGCAGAGCGCCGCTCGCTCGCTGGAGACTCCAGAGGAGGAGAGTGACGTTGGCATTCATAGCCACGACTCCAGCAGCTCCAGCGTCTTCTGGAACCAGTCCCTCGATACCATCTGCCCTGCTCTGCTCCACTCGGGCCGCCGCCGCCGACTCTTGACTTACATTTTTGCTGCAGTCGTTGCATAAAGAGCGGGGAGGATGATGAAGCAGCAGCGCTCCTGTTTATCTGTGGGAAATGTCGCGCACAAGCGATAACACTGGAATGATCGACGTCCCCGACTGTCTGACTGTCTGTCTGTCTGTCTAAATCTCCTCTCGGTCCGACCCGACCGCCTCGCGGAGGAGAGGGGGGGCTCTGTCCGCCCTTTACGTCGAATTTAACGGCTACTTATCATACTTACTATTGACGTCGGCTCCAAAAGGCTCTCTTGCTGCCGCGCTGCTCTCCGGACAGCTCCGCGGAGGGGGCGGGGCGGGGCGCGGGGGGCATTGTGAGCGGCCACGGAACCAAACGAGTGCCCCTCCTCTCCCTCCCCGAACCCCCTTCCCCCCTTCTCCTCGGCATATTTTGCGCGTCCGTACCAGAGAGCCCCATTGTGTTGTTTGGTTCGGCTGCGCCTGTTCCATTCCCCCTCCCAGCTCCGTATTCTCCTCGTCGCGATAGGATATTTATGTGCTCTGATCGCAAGAGCGCTCGGGCGTCACACACAACGTACCTCTTCTTACACTGGCTAAAACCTTCACTCGCGAATACTCTTGGAAATGCTAAACGCGCGTTCCTTTTTGGCGTGTAATTCCCTGTATGCCAGGTATGTCCTTCCTGGGCGGGGCGGCCCGGGGCGCTTAGCTTCGTCAGGAGGTCTTGTGCGGGGCGCGCAGCACACACTGTATGGCTTCAGGCGGGCCGGGCGGCCAGCCCGGCTGCCCCTGGCCAAGCCGGGCTGCCGCCGCTGCTGCTGCTGCCGCTGCTTCACAAATTTCAAATCCGATTATAGGATGCCGTGTAATCACGAAGCAGCTCAAGCTTCCCAGCATCGGCAGCGCGGCCGCCGAGTTTGCCCTCCCCCCTCCCTCCCCTCCCCCCGTCGCCACACCACAGCATGGGGGCAGCCTGGCCTGGGAGACCACAAGCCGTGCCTCCGCCACCGCCGCCACCGCTGTCTGAACGCCCACGTGTAAAATTCGCTTTTTCCATTAACTTTGATCATTCTCGTGGTCGTGCCCCGGCGGCCGGCGCCCTGCCCGGCCCTGCTGCCCCTCGGCGTGACGTGAACGCGCCCAGCGCAGCACAACCTCAGCCCCGCAATTGTCTATAATAATTCCTTTTCCTCTTGTTGTTTCTCCTGGCCCTGCCTCTTCGTGCAGCAGCAGCTCGCAGTGCATGTAATGAATACCTGGCGGGGGGCTTGTGCACAACAATGCCAAAAACACCCGACCCAAAGCCCTCTCCGGCCAACTTATAAAGCGGGGCTTGATGGCGGCGATTGTATGAAGAAGAAGACGGCGGAGGAGGAGGAGGGGGCGGAGGCCGCGGCGCTGCAGAGCGAGGCCAGGCAGGCCCAGGCACTGCCAGGGCCTGGCTCGCCTCCTGCTTGTTCCCCGTCTTTCAAGGGGGGATTGTAGTCTGGCCCCTTCCCTTCACAAGAACATCACGCTGCCTCCCAGCGCCGTCCGCGCCGGTTTTCGTGAGGTTGGGCTTTTTAGAGAGGCTCCACCTGGTTCCTCTTCCCTCTCCCCTTCTCCATCTCTCTCTCTCTCGCTCAAACCTTCCTCCTCCTCCGTCCTCCCTTTTCCGATGAACCATCTGATGCCCCCGGCTCCGCCAAGGCCCCGCGCTCGCTGTCGCCCCGTCCCCGCGCGGTCGCCTGCCCGCCCCTGCACGGTCCGTGACCACGACCACCGGCCCATCGCATCGCCTTGGCTAACCTACTTTCCCTCTGATCGGCCGCTCGGTGGCGCGGTGCGGTAACCACGTGAAGGTCGCGGGGCCGGAGGCGGCCGTCCTCACCCTGCGACTCTGTGGTGGCGCCAGCTGCCAGCTAGCTCGGAGTCGCTTAGTGTCAAATCCCCCCTCCCTTTTCTCTCTTTCTCTCACACACAAACAGTCGAACACATTCGTTGTCCAGCCACACTGCGCCACACCGCGGTTCGGCGACGGACCAAAATGTCAACTCTTGTTATTTACTCAGCAGGGAATGCGTATGACGTTCGCCCTACCCCCTCTGCCCCTCCTCCCCTTGCGCCAGCCCGGCCGGCATTTGAAAAATTGTGACCTTTTCACGGTGAGGTGGTGCAGGCCCGCGCCGCTGCCAGGACGAGGAGGGCGAAGTACTGTCGCTGGCGCCGACTTTTTCTAACCGTCCTCTTTTCTCTCTCTGATTCCAGATATCATCGTGTCTACCTGCTCCGAGCTCAACAACAATAACAACAACTACATGAAGCAGCAGTCGCAGCAGCAGGGCAGCAGTCAGACGCAGCTGGGCAGCTGCGCGGCCGTGCCCTCGTACCTGCCGAGCTACCACCCGCACCACGGCCTCCACCACCATGCCGGCGGCCACCACCACCCCAGCACCGGCACCGCCATTGGCACCGCCACCGGCCAGCAGCAGCACCCGGCGTCGCAGGCGACGCAGGTCAACCGGCTGTACGGCGGAGGCCTCGTCAAGGCGGAGGCGACCCCCGTGCCCACCAAGGTGAGAACTCGTCGCCATGTTGCATACCGTGTCCCCGTTGTTCCCGATTGTGTCCAAAATTGCCAGGGAAAGAGCACCGGAAAAAAATATGTATACAAAAATAGCTGTCTAACGACACATGACGGGTCCGTAACGAAAGCCAGGTGCTCCGCTGTTTACTGCCTCTGTGTTGTATTACAGTAATAGGCTGAGCATGAAATTTACGGCCGGATTTGGAATGGCGATGGCGATGGAGGGGAGCAGCGCTCGGGGCGGGGCGGGGCGGGGCGGGGCAGTGAGTGGAGCTCTGGAATGATGGCATTATACAACAATATAGTGGAGGGAAGCGCAGGGCCGGGGGAGGGTGCCTTTATGCCGCTGTCGCTTGCTATGCAGCGCTCTGCAGCGCTCTGTCTGCAGCGCTCTGCTCTGCACCAGAAAGCCCGCCGACCGCCGACGCCGTTTTCGAAATTTCCTCCTCTCAGTGCCGAATACGGCGGCGTGCGGTGTACGCGGTGCGGGGCTCCGGTGTTACTGACCTTTCGGAGGGCATGGCCGGGGCTGCTGCAGGCTGAAAAGCCTTTTGAGCTGCCCCGGCCGGCGCGGCCTGCAGCGAGCTCTATTGTACGGGCCACGTCTATTAGAAGAACCTTAATTAGAAAGAAAAGGGACACACACCAAAGCGAGAGAGCGAGGGAGAGAAAGAGAGACGGAAAGAGAGAGGAAGCAGGGGGAGAAAAAATATGGCCGTCGTTGTGAGAGAGGTGGGGTGGGGAGGGGTATGAGGATTTTCAAAGGCTATGACCAACAGCGCCATCGTAAACTGTACGGCGATGGTCTTGTTGGCGGGTAGGTGTAGGTATATAGGTGGACGGGAACCGGTCGCAGCGGGGCGGGCTTGCCGCGGGCGCGGCGTCCAGCTGCGGCCCAAAGTACTATGATTGTCGGATTTGATGCACCCGGGCCGCCTCCCCTCCACCTCCCCCTCTCCCGCCGTGCGTACTGCGTATACCTCCCACTGTCATTCACTGCCAAATTGCGGGGCCGAACGGGCGGCGCCTGGAGGGGGGATGGGAATATAATCAGCGTGGTCAGGCTTTGGCTCGGTGGTGTTTCGAACGAATGTATGGTGGCTCGCTGATGACAACCTGAGGGGAGGGGGGGGGGGAGGACGAGCATGCAGACGAGCGGGTATGGGGGGCGGGAGGATGAAAATTGCAGGGGTCGGAGGAAGGGCAATGCTTGCTTACCCTGTCTATCCACTCCACGCCGTGCCTTTGATGGCCCGTGTTAGCCCCCCACCCCCCACCCCGCTATATCCTCGGCGGGCCGAAAGAGGACGCCCAAATTGACGGCTCTGGTGCGCCGGGGCTGTTTGATGTTAATATGAAAAGGCGGTGGCCGTGGTGCGGCGTGGCGTAGCGTGGCGTTTCGACAGGTTCGCCCCTCCCCCTCCCCCCGCTCGTTCCTCCTCCCCCCGCCGCGTGGTTTGGTCGTGGTCGTGAGGCCCATATGTGGCCTTTGCAAAGTGCATAGCGCGGGCGGCGCTTTCGTTTTTAAAAGCGCCGGCGATCGTGTGCGTGCGTGCGATACTCGCTCCCACGCCGCCCAGCCAAATGCTAATGCGTTATCCGCATTGTTATTATTTTATTCAGATAGGGGAATATGTTTGTGTGTGTGTGTGTGTGCGCGCGCGCGCGTTTTATGGTTACAGCTCTGAGCAGGGAGGCAAACGATATGAAAAATCGCGCTGAATCGGGTCTTTATTAGAGTGTGGTGGTTTATGTTTTGAAATACATGGTAATAACGTAAAATGTCAGTCCAGGCAGCGGTTGCGCGCTGGACGCTTGCGAGTTGAATATAATCAGATTGTGCGAAGAGGGGGGGGGGGGGG